GGGGGGGGGGGGGGGGGGCATCGTTTGCTCAGGTACCCAGCTGACTAATGAGGAAATGCGGGTGGAGCATTCCTAACAGTACTTGGTACAGAATAAGTGCTCAGGACACAGTAACAGTTATCATAGCTGATATTCTGTGCCCATGTACCAGTTTTCCATGCCCATGTGCCACTCTTGTGTGCATGTGCCAGCCTTCCGTGGCCATGTGCCAGTCTTTAGAGAACTGAGATTCTAAGTAGAGAATGGGAGATGGGATGGGTGTCCCTGGGACGGCCCATGCAGCCTGTCACAGGCCAGAGCCAGATGTCAGCCTTTCTTGCAGACCTCGGCAGACCGCTACCACCTGGAGCCCCACCTGGAGCATCTCTACGGGGCCTACCCCTACGCCTACCCGCCCATGCCCCCCGTTGTGCCGCACCGTGGCTTTGAGGACTGGTCCCAGATCCGCTACCCGCCTCCCCCCACGGCCATGGAGCACCCACCCCAGCTTCCCAACTCGCGCCTCTTCCACCTGGTGAGTCTGTGCCCCTCTTGCACTCCGGGACACAGACACAGGCCACCCAGACACATTCCAGAGGGCAAGGTCAAGTGAGGGAGTCAGAAGCTGCATCCTCGGCCCCTTCTGAACAGCACTGTGGTGTGTGGCCTGCTGTCCCAGGGGCAGGACCTTCCAGCCCAGGGCTGCTCAGGGTCACTGGTGTAGGACAGAAAAGGCCAAGTAAGGGAGTGGGCCCAGAAGGAGGGCTTTCTCCCGCCCACCAGGCCAGGGGTACTGGAGTTTGGGTTTGACCTTGTTTATAACCTCCACATGGAACCAGGTACCAGATCCTCACCATGCATTCTCTCCCTTTGCTCTTCTTTCTCTTTTCCCTTTTCAGTTTCCTTTCCTTTTCTCTTTTCTTCCATTTTTTTGGCTGTTTTTTTTCTTCTCTTGCTTATCATTCTGTCTCCAGAGAGCTGCTGTCACCTGTCCCATCCTCTGCAGTGCCTCTGCCACAGCCCCCTCAGGCACCCCCGCTCTCACCTGGTGACAGACAGCTGCCTTCCATCCAGCTTCTCCCCCATGACCATTCCTGACATGCATCTTTAAACACTGGAGTGTACTGTGGGGCTTAAGAGATTAGCTCCAGGATTATAGAGACCTGGACTCAAATCAAAGCTTGGCCACTTGCCTAACTGGACGACCTTCAACAAGTTGCTTAACCCATCTGAGCCTCAGTTTGCTAACCTGTAAAATGGGGGTGGCAGCCTGGGTAGTTGTAAGGATTCAGCTGTACTCGATTAATGTGAACTTAGTACTATTCTGGCATGGTATCTGCTACTGTAATTTTCGAGTATGGTAATTGATTACTAAGCACCAGTGTTGTTGCAGCCAGAATACACCTGGCGGCTGCCCTGTGGAGGAATACACAATCAGAGCTCCCAAGTGATGGGGTCACCCACGGCCAGGCCTACGGAACCAGGTGAGCATGATCCCCTGGTAATGGGCCTTGTCTTCCATGGGGGGAGATAACTTCTTATCTGCCAGCATCACCCCCATTTGGGGAAGACGATGTTGCTACCTTCTGATCTAGGTGGAGGAGGAGGCCCAGCTTTCTGAAACAGTGTTGAGAAGAAAGGGATGGTGACTGCATCATGAGGGGGTTGAAACCATTCCTTCCTTCATTACAGTTCAGGGTCTAAGTGCTGTGTGCTGTACGAGGTTCTGGGGAAGCTCGGATATGGTCCCAGCCCTTATGACCTTACTGTCTAGTGAGGTGGGCAGAAGTGAATGGTTAAAATCACACCAGTGGGCATATACAGCTGCACTCAAGTGCCCTGAAGGAAGAAGAGCAGGTTTCTATGAGAGCAGAGGCAGCAGAGGGACCTGACCCAGCCTGGGGGCCATGGTGTTTGAGTTGAGACCTTCAGAATGAGCGGCATTAACGAGGTAAAGAGGCAGAAGCCAGGGGTGTTCTTGCCGAGAAAGGACAAATGCAAAGGCCTTGCTGGGAGGGGATGAAGAACTGTGGCCAACCTGAGGATTGAGAGAAGGCGGGTGTGGCTGGAGCCAGGAACGAGGTGGGGAAGGGGGTGTGGGCAAGGCAAGGTCAGGGAGGTTGGCGGGTCCTGGCCGAGAGGGTCTTGCAGGCCATGGCAGGAGGGCTGGTCTTTATCCTATGGATGACGTGCAGCCCTTGGACATTTTAAAATCAGAGTGGCATGGGAATTCCCTGGCGGTCCAGTGGTTAGGACTCTGTGCTTCCACTGCAGGGGGCCCAGGTTCGATCCCTGGTTGGGGAGCTAAGATCCCACAAGCCCTGCCGTGCGGCCAAAAACATAAAATCAGAGCGGCACGAGAGATTAGATTTGCATTTTGTAAAGCTCCCTCTGGCCACAGTGTCCGCCATAAACGGTTGGGGGCTGGAGGTCTGTTCGCTAGTCACAAGAGCACCCTGGGCCCTTTGGTCACTCCCTCACTTTCTGCAAGGCTCTCATGGGGTAGAAGGCACTGCCTTGCCTGTGGGGCTTCTGGGAGCAGAATTGCAGCTAAGGGGAGGCCAAGTCTATCTCAGCAGGA